TAAATTAGCAGCAGGAAGCTGAAGCGGAACAAAAAGTGAAAGGAGCAGTAAAAGGTTGTGAGCACATCTAAAGACTTGGAGGTAAAATGAGCTCGGTTCATTTTCGATGAGAACAAAATGTCAGAAAAGGCTGAATATTTCAAGAAGCTAAAAGTTGCACCAACACCAGAAGTGGTAGCAGGATTGTCCTGAAAGAGCCGAACGTTTTGGTTCTTGATTGAAAACTTCCGGATGAGAAAGATGCTGACCAGCGTGGAGAAGGAAACTGGATGAGAACAGAGTGACGCTCCGCGAGCGTCCAGACGATGATGTTCACGTTGCTGACGCCACGTCGTGTCCCTGCAGGTGGAGTGATCAACCTGTCGGTGCCCGTGGTGCTGCCGGTGTCCACTGCAGATAAAGAGCAGTTGGAGGGCGTTACAGCCGTGGCGCTGGTGTTCGAGGGCCGCCGAGTGGCCATCCTGCGTAACCCTGAGTTTTATGAGCACAGAAAAGAAGAGCGCTGCGCTCGGCAGTGGGGCACCACCTGCAAAGACCACCCCTACATCAAGGTTAGTGCCCGAGAGTCCAGAGCTGCCTTGGCCTCACTTGACGCCGAGCCCCTCTCGCATGTGTGGCAGTAGTAAGGCAGCGCTCGCACGTGTGCACGTTTGATTTATCTTCTACAGTTTGTTTCTCGCTTGAACCAGGAAATGAGCCGTGTCTTGTTTGTGCTGTTGAGCTGTGACAACGACAAACGCGTGAAGCATCTTTCACGAGCCGACTGCGGTTGCGTCCGGCGCCGGATTGATCAGAGCGAGCAAACCAAATGTTTCTGATCACACACCTCGGCTGCTGACGGCTCGCAGCCACAACAACTGGACTGGTCCGGTTGGACGTCAGGAATACGAAAGATATTCACAAGTTGAATCGCATGTCGGTGAAATGAGAGACGTTCATGGAGCTGTTTGGTTCTGATTGTTCTTGTTATGGACAATTTCAAATAACTTCTTAGAATGATCTCACAAACGCAGCTTTTCTTCCAAAAGTTTGATTTCAAGAAGCCGTTTAGATTGAAATCGCCTGGTGCTGCAATCGTTGGATTGAAATCGCCTGGTGCTGCAATCGTTGGACCTAGAGAGGAGGACAGATCTGTTGCTCTTTTGATTTTGACCTCAACAAGAACTTCTCTTCAGCAGCTGTTTGCTCCAACAAGAGAAGAGCCGACGCTGCTGCTCGCTCCCACTTCGTTTCACGGCCTTGCAGTGAAACACGACTTCATTTGAGCATCGATCCTTCTGCACGTTGTGACTGCAGCACCTCCTGCACATACAACCATTACTATTATTACTGCAGAGCTTGGACACATCGATCACATGTCATTCTGTATGCAGCTGTTTTTAGCATTAGCTTCTACGATCCAGAATAAACCGGGCACGTAGACGGGCTCAGTATTTGTGACGAGCGCGAATTGATCCCGTTCTCTCAGTGATGTTGCACACTTTGGTCCTCCAGCCTGGATGAATGCTCAGCTTCAGCCAACAATGATCCTACAAGAGAGCGTACTTCAGCAGAGCACTGAGCTCTCTCTGTGCACGTCACATGCGCGGTGGTGATCAGGTTTTACTGAGTAGAAGTTGTATTTTAGTGCACGTGTAGGTCAGAGGTGCACAGGTGATGTCACAGACGGGGCTCCACACAAGACGAGGCTGTAATGGTGTTTCAGTCCACACGTTCCATTACTGCAGTGAAACGCTCTACATTTACTGTCGAATAGTAAAAATTCAGCTGTACTTTACTTTTCTGGTATTTGACCACAGCATGGAGCAAAACCGCTGTAACACTAGAAGTCCTTGTTTACTTGTAAAATAAATACCGGTAAATAAAAGAGCATACTAGATCCAACAGAGATCAGTCAGGTTATCTGGAAGATTTATTTTTTTGCTGAGACGTTTCGTCCTTCATCCAAAGGACTTCATCAGTCCGAGGAGCCACAAACAAACTGAGTTCCAAAAGCAGCACACTCCCATAGTGCGGAAAAAACAACCAGTTTGCTGGTGATGAGATGGTTTCTGGGGCCCACCCTCTCCCCCATCAACTTCCCGACGTAAGACTGATCACCCTCCTGACACTGAACAACATACACAACATTACTCTGTTTGTGCCGGGGGACTGGATCTTTGGGATGAACCAGTCTTTAATGTATTTTGGGGTTTAAAAGCCACTGGGACGTTATGTTTAGAAAATAAACGTCTCAGTTTCTCTGATACTCCCTCAACATATGGAATGACCACTGGTCTGGGTCTGGGTTCCTCCTTTTCACCTGTTGGCTGACTGGAGTCCTGTTTGGGTTTCTTCTCTGCTTTCAGGAAGGCCCAGTTAGGATATCCACATTGCTCTAGAGCCTGTCTTGTGTGGGATTTCTCCTTCTGCCTGGCTCCTGAGCTAGTGGGGATGCTGTCTGCTCTGTGGTACAGAGTCCTGATGACTCCTAACTTGTGCTCCAAAGGGTGATGGGAGTCAAACTGCAAATACTGGTCTGTGTGGGTGGGTTTGTGGTACACCTCAGTTTGCAAATGTCCTCTATCAGAGACTGAGACCTCACAGTCCAAGAAAGCCAACCTGCCATTTTTTACATCTTCTCGTGTGAACTTGATGTATTTATCCACAGAGTTGATGTGGTCAGTAAAATGTTGGACTTCCTGAGATTTGATTTGAACCCAGGTGTCGTCAACATACCTGAACCAATGACTTGGTGGTGTCCCTGAAAAGGACGTCAAGGCTGAGTTTGGTTTCTTTATCATTTGTGAAGTCTACCTGCTAGCCTCATACAGCAGCTGCTCCATCATTTCAGCACATTCAGCTCTTCTCTGGTTCTTTCCTGATCTTGCTCGTTGTAAAACCAAACCAACGTGTTTAAAGATGCAGCTGCACGTTTCCTAAAGTGGGAGCATGACTCCGTGTTGTCGTCAGCCAGCGCCTCAGTGCTGCTTTTATACAAACGCTGCAAGCTCTGTTTCCACTGCAGAGATGCAGTCTGATCCAGAGTGTGTGTTCAGCCTGCTCTGATTAAGGGCTCACTCATTAAAGTGTGTATATGTACACATGATGTGTATATGTACACATGATGTGTATATGTACACATGAATGTTGACTTGGTGCTCTGGAGCCAGCCTCTCCTCACAGTCACATGGTTTCTGACTCCTCTCGGCTACAAACAAGCTGCTCCACTCCACGTAATCTACTCCTTCCTGTTTACCTGTCTGTCAGTCAGAGGCCCCTTCCCCGGAAGCAACGGTGCAGCCGGCGTTTATTTGGCTAGACCCCCTTTTCTCATGTGAACGTGTGAAACGGAGCTAAAGTTTGAGCCTCCCTCCTTCGGTTTACACTTTTCCATCCAAGCAGCAGTGGACGAACAGGGTCAAATAGCATGTGGAGAAGGAATCCTAACAATATTTGAAAGTTCTCACAGCAGATGGAGCCACGTTGTTTAACCACGTCGTTTAGACGCCGCCGCTGCAGACGAGCTCCGCTTTCAATGCACTTTTCTGGATCAAAGCAAAAAAATGGACATCAAAGAGTTCACAAGAATTTTCACTACATGTTGGAGGAAAAGGTGACATTTGATTTGTCACCTGGTATCATCATTTTAATATCATGCAGGCGTGTATTTTGTGTAGCTCTAGCTGCAGTCTCTTCTGAACCACAGGAGGAGAAACTAAAGCAGCCACTTCTGGATCCTGAGGCCTGGACCGACACTTTCACTCTCTGGGGAAGTTTCTTTGCAGTGCAGTCAAGAGCGCTGCCAGCTTTGAATCTACAATACAGTTGGATCATGTTACTGTTAGACCACTGTTGTTATACTGTTGTATTAATGTTATATTACTGTTGTTAATGTTGTTATACTGTTATATTACTGTTGTTACTGTTATTATACTGTTGTATTAATGTTGTATTACTGTTGTTAATGTTGTTATACTGTTATATTACTGTTGTTACTGTTATTATACTGTTATATTACTGTTATTACTGTTAATATACTGTTATATTACTGTTATTACTGTTATTACTGTTATTATACTGTTATATTACTGTTGTTAATGTTGTTATACTGTTATATTACTGTTATTACT